TCTTCTTCTAGCTCTTAAAGAGTTGAGAAGAAGGCAAGCCTCGCGCCGTCGTCGTCATACGGATTAATCGATCGATTGATTAACTTTTTGGACCAAATTTATTTGTTAATAGTAAAATATTAACAGAAATGTTATTAAATATTTGTTTTAATAACAAAATATTAATATTAAATATTAATATTAAATCCAATCCGTTTTTCTGTTTTGGTAACAGAAAAGTAACTACCCTCTTCAATTTTCCCTCTTTATTTTCCCTCTTTATTATTGAGTAAATGGCCATTTATGTAATGGCATTTATGTTGTGGGCGTTTTGCATAAACAGCCATTCTGAAGAGACCCAACTTTGGCTATAAATACAACACTATTCTGCTCAGAATTTTAACGACAATTTTCTGAGTTTCCTCTCCTTCTTCTGCATACTTTTAGCATCAAAACAAAGCAAAAAGTAAGTGTGATTTGCTACCGAACTTTGTGTTCGCTGAAACACTAGGGTTTGAAGTACCACTACACCAGTGTGTAATTCGTTCTATCCTGGGAGGAAATAATCCATAACCTTGGGTACTAGGAGGGGATTAAATTCCTTAAGGAAACACTGTGAATTCAGTGGGCTCGAATTTGTTTATGTCATTTCTGTTTATATTCATTACTGTTTATATTCATTTATATTTCCATAATTTATTTTACAAATACAGTGTAATAACAAGCTTAAGGAATTTAATAATTTATTTTTTGTATTTGTACTTACTGTTTCTGGAAGAGTAAAACCTTTGTGGTTTTGTACTCTATTAAAATCTACGTGATTTTAACGTTTGTGTCATTCTTTTACAGAAATGACTAATGAGAATGAGAACCAAGCGGTTCCAATGGTGACTCAACAAGCCGAACGACACCGGCAGCATTGGCACCGGCGGAGAAACCCGGAAAATTTTTCGGGATTGATTTCAAGCGCTGGCAGCAAAAGATGTTCTTCTATCTGACTACTCTAAGTCTCCAGAAGTTCATCAAGGAAGATGTTCCTGTGCTGTCCGATGAAACTCCAGAAACTGAACGTTTTCTCGTAATTGAGGCATGGAAGCATTCAGATTTTTTGTGCAAGAATTATATTCTAAGCGGGCTGGAGGATGGTTTGTATAACGTCTACAGTGGCGTGGAAACGTCAAAGGAACTGTGGACTGCGCTTGAAAAGAAATACAAAACCGAAGATGCCGGGTTGAAAAAGTTTGTTGCTGCAAAGTTTTTGGACTACAAAATGGTAGATAGCAAGTCTGTTATTNGGGACTGTGGCCGAGAACAAGTCATAGTGGCGGTAACTCTACCTAGAAGACTGGAGATCCCAAGATCTAGGTTCAAGGAGATCAAACAAAGTCATTTATGACGGTTCAACATTGTCAACTAAACTTTTGGTCCATTCTCGTGATGAGACAATGTTCAGTACCAAGGATAAAGCATTAAGGCTTTTTAATGATTTCTAAATTTGATACAGGGTATATCAAATAGTGTATCTACGGGATGACACGTTTAGAAATCACCTATGTAAGTGTGAATTGTTAGCCGCTTCAAGGAGAACACAGCAAGGCCAGTTCTCTACGCACTTATGAAACCAGGCGGTGTTCATGGCTGAAACGAACACAACAATGAGAACCAAAGACGGTTAAGGGTTGGTTGTGTGACTTGTGGCTGTCTAGGTATACACTAAAGTTCGACGGTTCAAAGATATCAAATCTACCGATTGATCGAGTATATCCGACATAAGTTCACTACGGAAAGTTCAAAGGGAAACCTACTTATCCAGATGCAATTAATCCTTACTTGTGAATCACACAGTTTTTCATGCATACTTCCGTGATATAGCCATTCCCCATTCATGTGGGGGATTGTTGGGTTTTTAAGGTATTTAATTAATATATTAAATACTTAAAAGAGGGTGAAAGGGAAATGGAGGGAAATGAAATTTTTGAGTGAAATTTTAAGTTCCCCTCCTTGGCAAATGGGCATTGTCCCATATTGGAAGAGGAAGAGGTTTTTTATGGGTATATAAGCAATTGCTCTTCTTCTAGCTCTTAAAGAGTTGAGAAGAAGGCAAGCCTCGCGCCGTCGTCGTCGTCGCTCGCTCGGCTCGGCTTCGGCTTCGGCTACGGCTACGGCTTCGGCTTCGGCTTCGGCTTCGGCTTCGGATTCGGATTCGGATTCGGATTCGGATTCGGATTTGGATTTGGATTTGGTCAAATGATCGATTGATTGATTAACTTTTTGGACCAAATTTATTTGTTAATAGTAAAATATTAACAGAAATGTTATTAAATATTTGTTTTAATAACAAAATATTCATATTAAATATTAATATTAAATCCAATCCGTTTTTCTGTTTTGGTAACAGAAAAGTAACTACCCTCTTCAATTTTCCCACTTTATTTTCCCTCTTTATTATTGAGTAAATGGCCATTTATGTAATGGCATTTATGTTGTGGGCGTTTTGCATAAACAACCATTCTGAAGAGACCCAACTTTGGCTATAAATACAACACTATTCTGCTCAGAATTTGAACTACAATTTTCTGAGTTTCCTCTCCTTCTTCTGCATACTTTTAGCATCAAAACAAAGCAAAAAGTAAGTGTGATTTGCTACCGAACTTTGTGTTCGCTGAAACACTGGGGTTTGAAGTACCACTACACCAGTGTGTAATTCGTTCTATCCTGGGAGGAAATAATCCATAACCTTGGGTACTAGGAGGGGATTAAATTCCTTAAGGAAACACTGTGAATTCAGTGGGCTCGAATTGGTTTATGTCATTTCTGTTTATATTCATTACTGTTTATATTCATTTATATTTCCAGAATTTATTTTACAAATACAGTGTAATAACAATTCTTAAGTTGGAACGCATCACTTTTCATAGCAAGAATTAAGCTATTAAGCTTTTATGGAACTCGGAAAAGGGAGGTGGGGTTTAAGTAAATTAGCTTACCAACTGCACTTAATCCTCTAACTTGTTAAGGAATGTTGATTAAGTAATCTTAACCTTAATGGTGATATCTATAAAGAAAAAGGTACACTTAGCTAGCTACTAATACAATACGTAAAAAAGAAAAAGGAGTTGTCGGTGTTGGCCGGTTTCGATAGCAAACATTGGTAATGATGATTGCATGTTATGAATTTTGAGGAATTGTATATACTATTTCTTAAGCACCCTAAATCACTACTTTAAAATAGTCCAACACCAAGTACCATTTTTTTAATTATGGCTATTAACTTTGTTTTCGGGGCGGATCCCCCTTTCCAACTCCTAAGTTCCAATCAAATTCCAAGTCACAATATGAGGTTTGTTAATTATCCAATTTAAATCTTAAGAATCTCACAGAGGTACTAAAATAATCTAAGACTATAAAATAAATGGACTTACCTTGTGCACTAATTAAGTGTCCTGACTAGTATGAGTGTACTAATTGATATTACGTAAAAATAGCACGGTATAGCCAGTTTTCGGACTGGTCAATCAAAAATAGCCGGCGTTTACCAAGTCAATGAAAAATAGCCACTATTTTGCTGCAATAGAGACCGGTCCAGCATAATATACTGGAGTTCGGTGCACTTGTGTACGAACTCCAACATATTATGCTAGACCGGTATACTTTGCTGGCTCCAGTATAATATACTGGAGACTGGAGCACCGGTGCTCCAAACTCCAGTATATTATACTGGACCAATATACTTGCTGGAACTCCAGTATAATATGCTGGAGTTCAAGTATACTTATGCTGGAACTCCAGCATAATATATTGGAGTATTTTTCGGGTTTTGAACAGTGTTTTCGCTCAGATTTATCTTTATATAAAAAGTGGCTAAATTTCGATTACTTTTGAAATTGGGCTATTTTTGAATGAGCAGTTGTAAATCTGGCTATTTTTAAAATTTACCCTGATATTACCCATCTGAGATAATTTAGTCGGGCAACAAACGACCCCTAAATTTTCAGATCATGCAATCTGCCTAGATAATAGGCCCTCTACCAGTAAAAAGGTAAATTCACAAAGCAATGTGAAAAACATGTGTTTGGTCAAGAGGATTTCCTTTCATAGCTAGTCATAGATGAGTATTCTTAGCTAAATAGGCAAATCAGACACTTGTACTTACATGAAATTCTGTTTCTGACCCCTCAATTCCACGGATTTCCTTTTTGACATGTTCAAAACCAGTGTTTCTAACGCCTCTATAAGAACATATTTTGTATTCTTAAAGTGGGGCAGTGTTTTTTTATGTCTGCTGTGCCTAATTTTTTTTTTTTTCCCATCCATTGTCTGCTATACGCATTGGAGCTCGATTATATCCAAATTCGTGCCGCATAGGCCATTCGGGGGAAAGCGTTTCCTACCAAAGATTTGTCCATACCCGGAGCTCGAACCCGAGATCTCTGGTTAAGGGAAGAACAGTTTCATCCACTGCACCACCTCCTTTTGTGGTGTGACTAATGTGTCTTACAAGTTACTAAAAGAAAAATCTTGAACTTTACATTCAATGAGGTACTAGAGGTCCTACCACTCAGATTGAGATGGTTTACATTAGTACAATCTGAACCAAAATATAAAATATATCTGAAACAAAGTGTTAGCGGCAAAAAAGAGTCAGTAGTGTCAGTATATACTCATTTGCATTGTTTTATAGTTTTTGTAGAGCTGATGATGAAGACTCTGAAGAAATTATGGACATGCAGTTTTGCTTCTTCTATCTGTTTTAATGACTTTTTATCAAGTGTGCAACTTTGACGTTTCTTGAATCTTACAAAGTAACAACTTATTGTAGGGGCAAAATTTTAATACGATAGCACATTGACAGTTAACTAATTTGATACATATTTTCATCAATAAGTCCTAAAAAATACCCTGTAAAAATAAAGGGATCAAATACTACTTACTAGTAGTATTCAGATCAGAGACTTGCAATTCCTTCTGATTAAGGATTGAGACCAAACTCTATATGGAAAAATAGTACTATAACAATTTGCTACTCATAAGTTAAACTTTTATTAGATCATTAGTATATCGGAATTGAAGAAAGATCAGAATTCATTAAATTTCATGTGTGTTGTTATATTTCAAGAATGTACAGAGTTTCAACCAAGACTTAAAATTATGTTTCAACAAAGAACAACAAAGTCCTCGCCTTTATTTATGTCCTGAGAATGTGCATCTTCCTGTGGAGACAGATCTCTTCATAGAAACATGATTGCAGACTGATTCTTCCGCGTCATCTTCAGTTATTCTCAGCATATCAGCTACTAGAAAATGTTGCCTTGAAAATTCACCTAAAGACATTGATCTTCTGAATTCAGAATTTTCCCCTGAGCTGTTCTTTGTTGAAACATCACAAACAAGGCTAACAACAACCTCTTCGCGACGAACTCGTTCATGATCATCCACCACTAAGATCAAGTCATTTTGTCTTTGAAATTGAAGAGCATTTATGTTTAAAGAATGAGGAGGAGCTACTGATGAAGGAATAGGAGGAGGTAATGATGGACTAGGAGATGATACTACATTAGCCCTACAAAGAGGGCAATTAGAATGAGATTTCAACCAAGTATCAATACAAGGTAAATGAAAAGCATGGCTGCATTTAGGCAAAAGCCTAAGGTTCTCATCTTCTTGAAACTCACTCAAACAAACAGCACATTCAGTATCTTCAACCAATCCTTCACCTTTCTTGAACTTGCATACTGTAATAGCCTTAATAGTTGACTCATCCAATCCAGCAGTAGCAACTTGCCATTGATCTTGAGGCGTCTCGTTTCGATTGGCTTCTAGTTCTGTGGCTGCATTTCTGCTCCTCCTCCTCTTACAATACTTAGTGATGATGGTATAGTAGCTAACAAGAAGGAATGCACTCGCCAAGATACCGATGATTGCTATGATGAGAGGGGAAAAAGCTGTGGTAGAATCATCTGATTCATCATCAGGAGGTGGAGGAGGAAGAATGAAGTAACACCATTGTGGACAATAGACACTACAAATTCCTTGTGAACAATCCTTATAACTATCAAAAGGTGCCCATGGATTTGTATTTCCAATAGATCCCATGTTCACTAAAACCTCTGCACTATAGCCTAACAACTAACTAGTATTCATAATCAAGAAAGCTTCCATTTTTCTCAAACTAAGAGAGAAAAGAAAGAACCCCATTAAGTGTTTTTGCCTTCTTTTGCTCTTTTTGTTGGTGGAAACAAGGTAGGGGGGGAGGAGTATAAGCTAAGGGGGCTTAGATGGAAAGGTAAGCAAAGTAGAGGAACTAAAGGGATAGGAAGTTGAGGTGTCAATTCAGATTCTTCAACTTTTGGAATTCATTTAGGTTGCTAGCTTATCTTGTTTCTTTGATTTTTATTGGCTTTTACTTTTATTATGCCTTTATTTGAATAAGAGATGATGGTTTGTTGAACAATGAGATACTCCCTCCGTCTCATATTATGTGTCATGTTTCTCTTTTACACGCCCCTTAAGAAATACTATTAATTAGGAAAGGGATTAGACTATTCTATCCTTATTTATGTCTTAAGATATAATCTCTCTTCATTGAATATTTATTCTATTTATGTGTTATCTTTATCTTTAAGAACAATTATTACTAAGGGTAAAAAAGGAAACAAACAATCAATTTTGTCTTAAACTTCTAAAATGACAAATAATTTGAGACAACTATTTATAGTAACCATGACTATTAATATGACACGGAGGGAGTACAAATTATTTGGGGTTCTATTTAGATAGAAAATTTATTCATATTTTTTTGGTAATGGTCAAATGGTGTCTCAACTTAGATTTGTGGAGGGCATTACACCTCCAAATCAAGAAAAGGAATCCACCATTTGCTTTATCCCACACAAAAAGAAAAAGTGACATAAGAATTACAAAACATACAAAATGCTCTAAAAATTACGTATATGTTATACTTTGATCTAGGGCAGTTTAGGGGAAATCAACTGAACAGAACCTGCATAGGGAAAGGAATTAATTAAATATTGGTTTTCATTTCTAAATCTAAGTTTGTTACACCTTCCAAGAGTTTTAGTTGACCAATGAATATATATATTAAAAGAAGCCTTACTTGTTGCTTACAAAATATCCATATAAAATACAGATGGCGCTAGACTACTTGTCAATTTAGCCCCACTTAGAGACTCTATATATGTTGGAAAAATTGGAAGATTATGGAGAATAAAAGGTTTAGCTTGAGGCGTGTCAAGGACACTGTCTTTAAGGATATTTCGCCCACACCGTGATAAATAATATTAGGCGTATCCCCCAGGATTCAACAAACTCTTCTAGTATAACTAGGAGCAGAAACAACAAAGATTTATAAGAAGAAAACCCAGCACAAAAGAAAGAAGAAGAAAAGTTTTTACTATTTTTTCACACTACACCCGTGAACACAAATAGATAGCTTGATATATACCAAAGAAGATACATCTTCCATGAAAGAAACGTTATAAATTTAATTCCAAAAATTCAATGCCAAAACGGCATTTGAAACCAAAACGGATCATCAAGAACCAAGAATTCAATTACAAAAAGAAACTGTTATAATCATTGCCTTTAAAAGGATATTACTATCACAATTAATGTTCCAAACGGACAAGACCTTTGGTCAATTTTAAGATTACAAAAATTATAACTGATTTCAATACTCATTCAAAGTTAATAAACATTGAGATAATAAAAATATTAGAATACCCATTCTTTTTGAGATATTAATAATAATATTTTTTTTAATAATATATGCTCCATCCATTCACTTTTACTTATCCACTATGAATTTTACATACCCTTAAAAAATAATAAATGAAGTGTATTATTTATCATGATACCCATATTAATTAATGCATATTTTTAATGGATTTGAGAAAATAATTTGAAATGAATAATTAATACTGTGGGTACAACAGGAGAAAAAAATTGTCTTCTCTTGATATGCTAAAAAGTGACAAGTAAAAGTGAAAATCTATTTTTAGAATATTAGACAAGTAAAAGTGAACGGAGGGAGTAGTTGTTTTTTCTTGGCAACAAGGTAGCATATATGGACTGGAAAATGAAAAGCAAATTGAAGTCCATAAAACGAAAATGCAAGTTTTAACCTTAGAGGATAAAAATGTACTCGCTCTTAATATTTATATTAAATTTTAATTAAAATAAGAATGTGATTTAAATTATGATTTAGTCATAATAATAATAATAATAATTACTCCATAAATATTGAAAACACATACAGTGTTATGTATCTATAGGCCAATGCAAACATGGAGTGTCAAGAATAATTGCTTACTTTAGTTTGCTGGCTTGGCAAATTGTGATCTTCTTATAAAGTGGTGGTGGCCATCAAATAAAGAACGACAAGAAAAACTAACCACAAAAAAATAAGAAAATATTCCAATATAGTAATCGACGAATATAATGATGGAAATAAAGACACTTAGACATTGAGAATATCAACGGGAATAGTTTGCACTGTAGTGAGATGTACGGTTTATTTCTTCCAGGTCCATCTTTTTTTCTTTTTTTTTTTCTTTTTTATTTCCGCTGTTTCGGCCTCCATTGTTTTTTAAAATTATTAAAAAGGAAATATTTACATGCATTACTGTGCAACAAAGTGGGATGAAAATTATGAAAGATCAAGGTTTATAATATAAGATGTTAAATGATTCTTGTGATCTACATAAGCTTTAGTAGGCCCGATACCTAGAGGCGGAGCTAGGATTTCAAATTTATGGGTTCAGAATTTTAATCATCTTAAGTTGCTGGGTTCTAAATTAATAATTTATACATATCCAATGTATTTTTTAAAACAAATACAGGGTTGGAATTAAAACTAATGGGTTCGACCTAACCCGCTTTCAGCACTCTAGCTCCGCCCCTACCGATACCTGTATAGATGCAGATAATTGGTACCCATTATAATAGTCGAGATGATCACAAGTTATTCATAAGATCATCATTATAGCAAAAATACTTACAAGTCACATTTTAGTGCATATAATCATGCATTACTAGTATATATTGTTTCTCAGGTGTAGGTTTACATATATAGAGAGTTTGTGTTCTAACACAAACGCATCTTGTCCCAAGTAAAAATGGTATGACTTGAGAAACCTTGGTGTTTTCTAGCTATATATCCTATTTCGGAATTAATTAATTGCAAAAATAGCACTTCGCCTTGGTTCTTCTTATTCTTATTCGTCCAAAAAATTTATTATTTTCACCTATTAATTTCTTCAGAAAATCATGAAGGTACGTAGCAAATATTACAAAACATGAACCAACTTGACACAAATGGAAACTTCAGAGCAGCGGCAAAGAGGGTTCAAAGTGGGGCTGGACATCACAAGTTCAGATCTCTGGGGGAGCGAGAACTCGTTTTCTTACTTTTTTTTTTTTGTTTGTGAATTCTTATTTTGTTAAATTTTTTATGGTTATAAGATTTTTAAGTTGGTTAAATATTTTTTTGTTAAAATTAATAAATTTGTTGAAGTAAAATTTGTTAATATATAGATAAAATTCTAAAACTAAAATTAATTAGTTTTTTTTTTAGAGAAAAATTCCCAACTTTGATTAAAAAGAAGCAAAATAACTTTATTTTGAGGTCAAATGATGAACAAAATTGAGAAGTTAGCAAATTCTATTTACCGGTGCCGCTTATACAAGTGACTATACTATGCTTTTTAATTGAACTCACTTGTATAAAATCTTGGGTCTGCCACTGTGCAATAATTATAAATCTAATAATTGTTTTCTAGTTTAGGTTCAAGACATGACAGTCATGCAATTAGTATAGACGTAAATATTTTTGGAAAACGATTTGCTGGTATACCTAATCCTCTCCATCTAGAAAGTTTTAAGCATATTTGTTAATTAGACAATAGTCCTATAGATCATTTTTGCACGTTTCGTGCATCATTAAGCCAAAGAAATGACATCATAATATTTAAATTGCTTCTTTTTTATATGTAGTTTGTGATTAAGTCTTTTTAATTGCTTTTACCAAATACCACCAATAAGTATAATATGATTGGTATAAGATCAAATATTAACTTTAAAACTTCATTATTGATGGACCAGGGAGCAGCAACGTGTGAGACACATTATTGAGGCATAAATCTAAAATACTACTTCATTTACTTCCTTTTTGTTATGAAACAATAAAAGAAGAAGAATAGTATTGTAGAGAAAAGTAGAGAGAGAGAATTCTTATTGATTTGGGATGATTTACAATGGAATAGAACCCTCTATTTATAGGGAGAGGGTGACTTAGCCACCAAGTAATAAACCCTAAAATCTCTCTAAATATAGACATTCACCATAAATAAAATTATATTTATAACACTCCCCCTTGAATGTCTATTCAACACATAATGTGCCTCGTTAAAACCTTAACTAAAATAAAACCCAATGGGAAAAAAATCTAGAAAAGGAAAAAGAGTACACATATCTAATGATACGCCTTTCGGTTGCCTCGTTAAAAACCTCGCAAGGAAAACCCAGTGGGACAAAACCTTGTAAGGAAAAAAGAGTACAACGCGTATTAACTCCCCCTGATGAGAGCATCAATTCACATCCTTGAGCATTTGCATTCCAATCTTGTGCACCATCTTCAAAAGATCTTTGGTAGAGATTTGATGAACAAATCAGCCATATTAACTTGAATGGATATATTGCACCTTGAAATCATCATTCTTGATAGATATATAATGTCTTCATATAATGTCGTGGAATGGCTCTTCAATATCTCCATAGAGATTCTCGCAATCGTATTATCATGCTTATAATTAGGCGAAATACATAAATAGCCCCTTCAAGTTGTCCACAACGGTCAGTTGAACACCTCAACTGAGCCATGTTTCACTTAAACATATCACGTGTTTAAAAACTGAACTCTATAAACACCCGACCTCACCAGCCCCCGTCGCGTGTATTACACTTACCGGTGTCTTTTATAAGAACGAATTAGAAGCTGACATGTGGAAAAACAATAAGAAATAAAGAATTAGAAACATAAAACATAAACATAACGTTAAATCTTCATCGTTTCTTCCGTCTAGTCCCCCTCTCTCTCTCTCACCGACTAACCCTTCATCTCTTCGATTAAGCTTGGTTCAATCGGCATTTTTGTTGCAAAATTAAAGATTTCTTTCACTTACTAAGTATGATTAGTTGTTCTTTGTTCGAATTTTAAGTTGGTTCAAGATTTATCACCTGAAGGAAGGCCATTTTAGGGTTTTGGCAGTGGATCTTTTGTGAAAAGGAGAGTCAGCTGTAAAGGCTTCGATTATTGCATAAAGGTATATTTATATTTTATTATTG